CATATTCATATTCATATTCATATTCATATTCATATTCATATTCATATTCATACACATATTTCACATGAATACTTATTGATGCGCATATGAATACCCACACTCACACTTATATTCTTAGTTATATTCGATATTCATATTCGATATTCATAATTTCATATATTTCGTATATATTATATTTATAAATTATATTTATATTCATAACCCTTAGTCACTAATTCATTACATACTCATATTCGTTACAAATTGTTCGTTTGTTTTGTTGTTCATAGAACTTACTTTTGATATATCATAGATATATGGTTCCTAAAATTACCGCAACACCTTCAGCTGCTGCTCAGTGCCCAGTGCTCACCGCCCCCGGGTGTCACGCCCCCTGGGCCTCGGCCCAAGCTTGTGCTGGTCTTATGTGTGCGCAGCATCCGAAGCGGACTGGCACCTGCCAACAAAACAAACCCTAAACAGAGCTCGAGGCGGGGGGAAATCGTGACGGGCGCAAGCACTGGCAGAGTCAACATTTGAATAAAGATGTCGCCGGTAAGTCAAACATATGCAGTTAGCTGCCACGCCCACATGCAATATAAAAAATTGATCGATTGATTGATTGAGATTGATTAACTTAAAGCCGCGACAGGGCGAACTTACCTTCGCCAGCTGCCTTTGGCTTGAGCCTAAACAACTAGAGGCGAACTCACGCGGAGTCCAACTTAACTGCACGAACTTACCTTCGTGCCTAGACGGTGCTACAGAGACGTATATATATATGTATATGTATAGATATCGATATAGATATACATATAGAGTGAGATATAGACGTATAGATATAGATGTATGTACAGACACTAACACTCGCTAGACTCGGTTGCCTAGTCGAGCATAGTGGCGGGGCAAAGTTTGTGCTGGTTGGTGGGGGGTTACGGGCTTACGACTACCAAAATAAATACACTTAGAACTAGTTAAATGGAACTGGTTCCACTGGCTCACTGGCTCACTGATGATACGGCTGGCAGAACTGATAGACCAGACGCTGCGAACGCTCCGTCTTCTTCATGATGCCCTTCTTGTAGTACTGGCGTATGGAGCGCGAGAGCTTGTCGTAGTTCATGGCCGGCCGATTCTTGCGCCGGCCCCACAGCTTGGCCACGCGCACCGAGTCCTCGATCTTGAAGATGCCCTTGCTGCGGTCGATCCAGCGTATGGCCGTGCCGTTTACCTGCGGCGCCGCGAGCAGCTCCTTGAGGAACTGCCACAGGTGAATGTGCGAGCTGCCGCCGTTGCGTGCGCCGCCCGAGCGCTTGGCCGCCGTCGATGTGGGTGTGCCAGTGCCAGTGCCAGTGGCTGTGGCTGTGGCTAGCGGCAGAGCGGACTCCATGTCCTCATCATCTGTGAATGGAGAGGATCGACTCAGCTAGATTTATATCGCTGCAAGCTTTCTATGGCAACTCACCTTCGCTTTCGTCCTGCTCCACATTGGGCGGCTGATAGCCCCATAGCATATCGTTGCCGGCTGGCGCTGTGGCCTCCATTTCGTTGCCCAGCTGATCTGCATAGGCCATCTTCCATATCTCCAGCTGTGCGTGCAGCGTGCTGCCACTCTAGAAGGCCGAACGAAAGAGAGAAAGAAAGCGTACCACTTGGATGAATATCGATGGGGCCCAGCGTACATCTCACATAAATCTCAATCTCAATCTCAGTCTCTCTCTCTCCTTCTCTCTCCCTCTCGCTCTGTTTATATCTCTCCCACCAAAGCTGGCCAATCTAGACGGCGCATATCAATTCAAATTCTAACTGCTAACTGCTCGCATAAATTGTGCGCTGTCTGCAGTTGCAGCAACAACAACTACGTAGCAAGTGGCCAAGCAACAACAACAACAACAACAACAGCTACAACAACCGCTGCGACTTACTTTCACCTTGCAATGTCGTTGCTGGTCGTTGGCTCAATTCAATTGCCGTTGCCGTTGCCGTTGCCGTTGCCGTTGCCGTTGCCGTTGCCGTTGCCGTCGCGACGTCGCGTCGTCTCCACTGTCATCTGAGCTGTGGCTGTACCTATCGCTGACACTGAGCACAGTGGAGCAAATAAGGATAAGCAAGCACAGATTTGCAAAGTGGCAAAGTGTATATACTACAATACCTACTATACCTATAGTAAATTCAATGCATTTTTTGTTATTCCGGAAATAACTTGATCAATTACTTTAGCATATGTACATATTTCTATAATCAAATTTTAACTTTAAAAAATATTTTTAAAAAATATGAATAATAAATACTGTTGAATATAATAAAAGAAAAAATCTAGAGATGGTTTCAGTACGGCTGCATGAGTTATCATATAGATATATATTTATATTTAAATATATGGTAAAATTTTGCAACTCTGCAAGAATCTCTATATGATTTACTGGCGCATAACAAATGACAATTAAATTATTTGCAATATTAATTATACAGATTTTTATATTTAAATATACACCTAACCTAAATAAAGTTGAAAAAAAAATAAATAAAATTACCATTGATTTTTTATTATTGTGATTTTCCACATTTTCAATATAGTCTTTGTCTCTTTAGACTCTTTATTAAGACTAAAGACTCAGACTAAAGAGTCTAATCAATACTTCAGGTTGGCCTATCTAAATGTTTCTTTTTAAATTTTTTTCTATAGAATTCTCTTTCAGCCCGAGCAGATGGTTTTTATACAGCCCACATCATATCACATATACCATATTTATGCAAACAAAAGAAAATCCCTCTACAAAGCTCTGCCTCTCTCTTTCTCCGCACAAAATTCGATACCCCACATTTAGTCGGATTCGCCCCACTGTGCACTGGGACAGAGTCCGAGACGGTGGCTCGTAATCAAGCGAGTGCTTTTGCAGTTTCACCAAACAACCTTCACACATTCTTTCACCTTTACAGCCATGACCACGGTTACTAATTTCGAATGCTCTGCTCCTCTCTCTCTCTCTTCGTGTCTCTTTTCACTCCCACTCTTCCACTCTCGCTCTCTCTCTCTCACTCGGTGCGCGTCGCGTTCGTTGCTTCAGTCTTTTGTTTTCATTTGGCTGCACTCAAAACAAACTTTGATGCGTCGCAATCATTTGATATGGCAAATGTAATCATTGAGATATTTTTGGCAATGTGCTGAGCTGGTGAGCTGGTGAGCTGATGAGCTGATGGGCACTCGACGGCGGGGCTCGACTCTGCTGGCTAGGGCAGCGCATTTGGAGTAGTTTTTGGATGCCGCTAGCCACATTATTATTAGTTTTATTTTATTTTTATTTATTTATTTTTATTTTTATATTTTTTTTGCCTTTTGCCTAATTGTTGGCAACAGGTTTGCTTTCCGATTTGGTCGAGCCTGGGCCATGACGTCAACGCCAAGTTACGAAACTTGTTTTGTTTTTTTTCTTTCATGCTTTTTGTCTTTCATATCAAGTGTTTCTCTCCTGCTCTCTCCCTCTCGCTCGCTCTTACACACTCTATGTTTTCTCAGCCCAAAAGCCAAGTTCGTACGCGAAATTCAATTCAATCGCATTGATTGGTATTTTGTTTGGCTTCGTTTTGCTTTCTGAGTTTTGCCTATCTCTCTCTCGCTCTCTCTCTCTCTCTCTCTCTCTCTCTCTCTCTCTCTCTCTCTCTCTCTCTCTCT